TTTGGGAAGTAGGTGGTGGCTACATGAGAGGGTTGCTCCCTTTGGTGGGAAAAGCCACAGCAGTGTGGGGCCAGGGCCGCAACTGATTATATAAGGCTCCAAGCCTGAACACTTGGGGGCTTCAGATAAGCTCAGCCATTCACCACCTTGCTGGCAGACATACAGAAGAGGAAGCTCTTCCCCATCTCGGTGCTTGAAGGGGTCCCAGCCCCGTCGTGCCTTAGCCCCATACCAATGGGCACAGCCAGTTCTCAAGGCAGGTGGCATCAGTGCCTGCATGGTCTACACGTTGCTTTTCCAGGCCTCTGCCTGCTCCTATGAGGACATCCGGCTGGTGGCATCCTACCTGGATGACAGAGATAAAGACGTCAAGATCCACGCCCTGAATACCCTCAAGGCTTTCGCTGGCATCCGGAAGTTTAGAATTAAAATCCAGGTCAGCGTTCCCTTCTCAGCTTGCCCCGCTGGCTTCCAGCACTGCCAACTACCCAGCACCCAGGCCAGACCGGGCCTGCCAGAGGCCTCAGGTGCCAAGCCAGTAGCTACACTGCTGCCATGTCTTTCCATGCAGGAGTTTGTGCCCAAGATCTTGGAGCTGGTCACCTCCTACTGGGATGCGGACCTGCACATTGCGGGGCTGAGGCTCCTGAACGGGCTGCCCCTGCCAGATCACACTCACCCCCTCCTGAGGAGGGCGATGCCTGCCCTGATGGAAATTGTGCAGACAGGGAGCAGCCTGGCTCAGGTAGGGAAGCACATGTGTTCCTCCTGGGCCAGCTCCTCTTCCTCCTTCACCTCCAGTGCCCTTCCTGGGGTGAGGAGAAGCTGGGAGCTCCCTGCACATCATTCCCTCTGAATGTCCTCACAGGGAGGGAAGGGGGGCACCGCTGGTGCTCCCAGGGTGGGCAGAGCTGTTCTTGAAGGGGCTGTGCAAGATATAGCCCCACCTGAAGCCTGGACCTAGAGAAGGGAAATGGGGACTGGCCAAAAGTTTGGGGGAGCCCCATTGGACTTGGAGCCAAGGTCACCCTAAGTCAGTTGAACTGACCGTGGTTATGTGCTCCCAGACCTAATGCTCCGGCCCCATCCTCTGTGGGGGAGGGCTGGGACTGGAGCAGCTACGAGTCCATCACTGTCTCTTGCTGGCCCATGGTCTTTGCCCGGGGCTCTGCTGAGACACCCCCATCCTGACTCCTGGTCTGAGACTTCCCATCGGTGTTTCCTCAGGTCCAGGTTCTCAAGCTCTTGAGCACCCTGGCCCAGAAAGAAGACCTCCTGTATGACATCCTGAACTGCCAGGTAAGGGCCAGCCTGTCACCAGCACTGGCAGGAACCTGAGCCGGACAAGCAGGGGGAACAATGATCCTGAGGGGAGGCAAGGACCGGAGAGGAGGCAGCCTGTTCCTGCAGGCAGCACCTGAGACTTGCCATCAAAAGGACCCTGTTTGCACTCCCGAGCCCCGACCTTGCACCATTCCCCTCTGCTGTACTCATGAAAGCCTCCTCCTTGGTCTCTCCCATCATGAGGCTCGTGCAGCCTGGCTGGCAGAGTCCACCATCCCACAGCCAACACAGGGTGCTCCAGGCCCACAGAGGGCACAAAGCTGGTGCTTGGCAGATGTCCAGGTCTATTCTGCAGGGCACAGGGGTCCCGGTGCAGTTCAGGGGGGCCGCTGATCTGCTGCTTGATCCTGTTGCCTGTGGACGCATCCTTGGGGGGCTGCGGCTGGGGTCCGATCAGACTCCCACAGACCCACAGGGCTTGAAGCCTGATGGGCAGTCAGAGCCAAGGCAGGGGCTGCTGGCCTGTGCCCATAGTGGTGCCTCCCCTTGTGCCCCAAGGTGCATGCTGACTTCCTGAACCTCTTCCATGCCTCGCTGCCTGGGAACCTGCTCCGAGAGGTGCTGGTGTTTGCGGAGCGGCTGAGTGAGGGCCGCTTGACCCCGCAGTACCAGTCGGTGCACTGGGAGTACAACGAGCTGTCCCTGCACGAGGCGCTCTTCGGGGACAGCTCCCGCTTGGCTGACCGCCTGCTCGCTCTCATCATCCACCCTGAGGAGGAGGTGCAAATCCAGGCCTGCAAGGTCATCCTCAGCCTCCAGCTCAGCAAGGAGGAAGCGGCAACCATCAGCACCGCCCAGCGCGTGCAGAGCTCCTTCTTTGACAAGGACAAAGAGGACCTGTGCGAGAACTAGAGGCCGGAGGCAGCATAACCAGAGTGATCATCAGAGATTAATAAACCAGATTGGGATTGAGGGTCTGCCTCCATCTTCCCCCACAGACTCACACCCTTAAGGAACAGAGGGGTGGGAGAGAAGCCTAGCTCCTTCCTCGGGTAGGAAATGGCCCCTGTGCCCCTCAGGCTGGGTCTAGCCAGGCATTTGCCCCCCTTCCAAGCACTGCTGCTGGTGGCACCAGGGCAGCCTTCCCCAGCCGAGAGGCAGAGTTGGGTTCTGTACCAGTTGGGTCGCCTGAGCCTGAAAAATGGGGTTGTGACCTCTCTGCCCTAAGCTAGCCAATGTAGGCTGGTAGGAGGTTGCCATCCCCATGCTTCATGCTGCCTGCTAGACAGATCCAGGGCAACTGCAAGGTGCCGGTCACCACTGGCACAGCCCCACTGGCTGAGAGCCACGCTGCCCTCCCTGGCCCGTTATCCCCCATGCCCGGATCAGGGCAGGGTCTCTCCTGCAGAATTCACACCCCCGTGAAAGAGTGAGAACCAGGCCCAGCCCCTTGAACGTGCTGGGAGATCCTCTCCCTGCCTCCCAGTCTGACTCTCCAGGGACCAGGCTGCTGGGGTACACCCCACGG